TTTGGCATATGTGATGCATTATTTAAATTGATTAAAATGCATGATGAATGTGATTGAGTTTGTTGCCGTTTGGCACGATATTTGTAAGTGCATATTGCTTGTATGCGATGGTGGGTGAAGAATGCATGAGAATATATATTGCGAGTACATGTGCATTGTTTGGTAATGTAAGAATGATGTTGGATATATGTATATGTGTTGAGTCGTACTCACTGGGGTAGAATGGCAATATGTCGTTCCTAGTGGAGTAATCACTAGGTTAGAATAACAGGATGTTATTCCTAGTGAGGTATAGTGTCGTGGTTGTATACATTGGGGTAGAATGACTGAGATGTCGTTCCTGGTGGAATAATTACCGGGGTAGAATAACTGAGATGTTGTTCCTGGTAGGGTATAAGTGATGTAACCATACTCCTAAAAAGGGGATTGTTGTTAATTGATGAGTTTTATATGAGTCATAAGGCATAAATATCATTGTTGTATGAAGGATACTGATGTGTATGAATTGTTGAATTGTGAGTTATAAATGTGAATCTAGTATGAAACGATATAAGATGAATGATGAACATATGTATATATGCATTGTGATATATATATATATATATATATATATATATATATATATATATATATATATATATATATATATATATATATATATATATATATATATATATATATATATATATATATATATATATATATATATATATATATATATATATATATATATATATATATATATATATATATATATATATATATATTGTGAATGCATATTGAATATACGTGCTGATACGTGATGTATGATGATTGTATGTGATAATATGTGTAAGATGCATAATTATATAATTGCGAATATCTATGCATTTCAAGAGTGTATTGAGTCGTTTTGCATGAGAAGCATCATGATTGCATTCTTGTGTATTTGATCCCGTGTAGGATCTGTAGAACCTCGTGTGAGCGATGGTTATATTTGATCCCGTGTAGGATATGCAGAACCTCGAGTGAGCGATGGTTATATTTGATCCCGTGTAGGATCTGCAGAACCTCGTGTGAGCGATGGTTATATTTGATCCCGTGTAGGATCTGCAGAACCTCGTATGATGTGATGATTATATTTGATTCCGCGTAGAATTTGCAGAACGATTGTGTACCCTTGTGGGTGTGAGCAATCGGATTATGTGCCATGTGGGGTGTGAGCAATCCAGAAATATCGTGTGCCCATGTGGGGTGTGAGCGATGGGTGAACATCGTAGGCCCGACGGGGAGTTACTTCGGTAATGAGCGATGATTCCATTTGGTTCTTCAATTGAACCTGCTGAACGAGTCGGTACCGCATTTGCATCTGCATAGAGTCATGAGTCGGTCTCTATGAGTTGCATTTATCATCTTTATATGATGCATTGGTGAAATAAACATGAATGTGAATGTTTATGTGAATTGGTGATGAAAAGAACATATTTTGTATGTTTATATGGATTGATTGGAATTATGGATGTACACATGATAAATATGCTTGATGATTATCCATATTTATTTATACATAGATTGCGATGTATATGAGTGAATCGTGAATGTATGCATGATGAGATGCTTGGTTATATATATATATATATATATATATATATATATATATATATATATATATATATATATATATATATATATATATATATATATATATATATATATATATATATATATATATATATATATATATATATATATATATATATATATATATATATATATATATATATATATATATATATATATATATATATATATATATATATATATATATATATATATATATATATATATATATATATATATATATGTATATATATATATATATGTATGTATGTATGTATACATTGTAATGTATGTTAGTGAGTGGCGATGTATGGTGGTAAGAAGTATAATATGGATATTCTATGTTATAGAAATATATTATATGCTTTGTTATTGTGTTAATATGCATTGTGGTGAGAAAAGGTGGAATATATGTATTCTGTACTTGTGCATTTATATATGACCGGTGTATTTGACTGTATAGACCAAATGGCATCTTTGAAATTGTTGTATGAATATAACGCACGTGATTCAGACATTTGATTCTTTATGTACAACAATTTCCTTATTTTTATTAGTATTATATAAAATTTATAAGTCAGGTATGAATTTGTAATGAAATGGCATCTGAGAAATAAACCAAATGAATTATAATAAGTATTCTTAAGTCGAGCTTTTGATTCCTTTATGAATTTGTAATGAAATGGCATCATAATTGGAATCAAAAGTAAAGTTTTTAGGAAGGAAAACAATTTCGAAGTATATGTATTCTGTACTTGTGCAATTAATAGGAAGGTCCTCAGTAAAAATATATAACTGTATATTTTTTATTTTAATCTTTAAAATTTAATATCCATGAGTTAAATCCATTTATATATTTCTAATGAATAATGAACTGCATGCTTCGAAGTGTATGAATCTTTTGATCAAAATTTGATGACAAATATGACACATTAGTATCTATTTTAAAATTTATGATGCTTTCTACCATCATTCATTTGGTGAAGAAAAATGAAGGAAAGCATCCCCTCACAATATGGTAATTGCTTCTTCCTCTATTTTAACTTAATTTTTATTTTTAGTTTCAATGTGCTTCAATATTCTAAAAATTTAAGTAAAGTACAAAAGAGATTAGAAAAAAGGCTATCCGAAGATGATTCATATACATTTTACTACCATCACCTTTATGTAGGTCTGTTTTACTGACTTATGCACAGAGGAACTTAATATATGATGTGCATTTAGGATATGGTCATAATCCTGAATCAACACGTGTGGATTATATAACCAAGTTTAATGTGGTCATTCCTATTATGAGTTTTAGTAGAATAAATGATATTCTTCTTCATGGCAAACATATTGTTCAGGTTTATCGCTCAAACACATATATTAGATTCCAACGTTCAAAATATTAGTGTCTTTTCTTATGCCAAATAATTTTTAAAAGTCATTACTATTTTACTCTAATCTTTTTTTTTTAAAATCAAGGAAGAATATATTAATTTAAAAAATACACAATACAAAGCTAGGTGATCGAAGGAGGACCCAACCCTCTAAAAAGACATTTTACTCTAAGCTTTTCTATTACTAATTACTCCTTTCTTCTTAAAAAAATTCATGGAGTTTTTAATTACTTCAATCTTATGTCCCATATGTTAAATGTAATTCATTGTTTTATTTGATTTGATATGATTACATTTGATTTGAATATTTTGGGCCTTTTATGGTTTGGGCTTTTGTAAACCTAAAACTATAAATAAGGTGTCTTGCTTTGTATTCATAACAACAGAACAAATTTCACAGTTGCAGTTAGCAAGTGAAAGTTCAATAAGAAATCCCACAGTTGTGGGTAACACATTCTCTCCAAATACTTCTTCTCTCATTCTTCTCTACCAAATGATACTTCTATAATTCAAGTTGTTCATTACTTGATATTGCAAGAGAGTGTGGTGTTCTTTCACCAATCGACTACAATGGCATATGCGGTACCGGTGACGGTTATCTTCATTTGTTTTGTAGTGAAACGAGAGATATTTCTGATTTTGATTCCATGGTTGACCTTCCTATTAAGCAATAATGTAACTTAATATCCGTGTTAATGTTTATGTTTATTTGCTTAATAAATTGTGAGAAAAATTTATGTTCTTATTTTATCTAAATCTTCTTATGGTTTTGACTAATCTATAGCAATATATAAATACAAAACTTAATTTTTGTGTAATCTAATTTCTTTTTCCATAATACGTAGTCCCAACCACCAAATTATTCCACTCACATTATTTATTTGTTTGAAAAAACTGATTAAATAAAGTCACGTCACAACTTAATATGTATCTGAATAAAAATAAAATGTTTCATCATATAAATAATTTATATTAAAATCAATATAAATAGTTTATAGTAAAATCAAATTTATAAAAAAAAATACGTTATTAATATTTTTGCAAGTTAGCGCAATAATAAAAAGCGGACAAACGGGAAATGAGAGAAGATGTCAATCTTGAACTTCTGTACAAAGGGAAACAAGTTCAAACATATAATACTTCTAATGCGAGAACCATAATTCCATTTCAAGACTTGACGAATGTCAATCTTGCTTCTCGATTGTTTCCGATGGCACATGACAGTGAAGCTGGACCGAGTAATGCACATGTCAGTCGCATTCCATCCCCGGGTTAGAAACTTTAACTTTTGTTATACATTATACTTTAACACATTAAATTTAAAAAATATTAATTAATTATGAAAAAATGATTGTCTGGTCTATTAATTCAAAACTAATTTACAGATCAAAATTTTCCATGCCCAATTTTTGAACAAACTGATAACAACGAAGCAAGACCATCTATAGGAAATATTGATGACAATGATTCTGGTAAGTATAATTTTGTCAATAATAATCACATTAATAGTAATACATATTTAGATTTATACATTATTGTTATTTTTAAACTATAACTCTATATTGAAGTTAATACTTTATTTTGTAGAATCACCTTCGCAAAATATGAATCCAGCGGTTGAAACTCACGAAACACAGTCAGTTTTTGATCAAGGTACGATTATGTATTTCTAATCTATAATATATATTGTATGATTTTATTTAAATTATACTAGCGTCCAGATGGGCATTCGCGTGCCTGTGTGCTCTCTTTTTAAATGCACACGTAAAAGTTTAAATGACATTTTTTATTTAATATTAATTATAAATTTCATGTTAGTAAGCATGTATATAATAAGTATACTTTTTTTAATGGATGTTTTAAATGTAATAAAACACAGAATCACGGTATGTTTTTCAAGCAAGACATAACATTGCTAGAAATTTTCGAAATACTGTTATGACAATCAAATCCCTATTGCCTCCTTCAAGTGAGTGTAGACGATGCACTGCAAAATTGTTTCATAAAGAATCTCAAGACATGTGTTGCAAGGGTGGAAAGGTGACAATTACACAGGTGTCTGCTCCTGACGAGTTGTTACAGTTATTTTCAGACACTTCTACTGAAGGACGACATTTTAGACAGCATATTAGAAGTTACAACCATGTAATGTCGTTTACTTCACTTGGTGTCCACGTCGACGAAAGTTTGGTTACAACTGGTCGTGGTATTTACACATTTCGTGCTCAAGGCACAATTTATCACAAAATTGGAGGTTTTCATCCGAATCAAGGTTCAAGGCCACGCTACTTGCAGCTATACATTTATGATACTGATCATGAGCTTCAAACTAGGATGAGGGAAAACCCAATACTTAACCAAGCCATAGTGTATAAATTGAAAAAAATACTCCATCAATGCAACCCGTTTGTCATCATGTTTAGGCAGCTTGCACTAGAGCCAAATGTTGAAGAATGTAGGTTACTCATTAAAGAACGTCCATCAAATCAGCCACAATATAGTCTCCCTTCAGCTTCTCAAGTTGCAGCAGTTATTATTGGTGGTGGTGATGAAGATACAATAGAACGTGGAAGAGATATAAATGTCATCAGCTGTGATGGAAATCTAACAAAGGTTCAAGAAACAATTGGGTATTATGATCCTTTACAATATCCTATATTGTTTCCGTTCGGAACATACGGTTGGGACATAGAAACAAAAAATAATGTTGGAAAAAATGTTACATGCCGAGAGTACTACAGTTATGTGCTTCAGGTACATGCTAAACTTTTTTAAAAAGAAATTTACTTCTAAAAGTGTAAAAAAATAGGTCATGATTGATTATTTTTTTCAATGTAGATTCGACATAATGATCAATTTGTATTGTTAAAATTGGGTCGACTTTTACAACAGTATGTTGTAGACAATTATGTAAAGATTGAAACAGGAAGGTTGAGATGGATTCGAAGAAATCAAAATAATATTCGGTCTGAGGTATATCAGGGGTTACAAGATGCATTGCACGATGGGGAGAATAACGCAGGTATTTAATATAACATGTTAGATTTATACATGAAGAGCATCCACTTTATGTTTACCACTATCATTTTTTTATAATTTTCATATATTTCTATAGATAATGTTGGACAAAGGACAATATTACCATCATCATTTATTGGAAGTAAGCGAGACATGACACAAAGATATCAAGATGGTATGGCTATTGTTCTTAATGATGGTAAACCAGATATATTCCTTACAATGACATGCAATCCTTCCTGGATTGAGATAACTTCCGAATTAGGAATCCATCAAACTCCACAAGATCGACCTGATTTGCTAACAAGAATTTTTCGATCAAAATTTGAGCAGTTGAAGGATGATGTCATTAATAAAAGAGTCTTAGGGAGAGTTAGAAGTTATATGTATGTAACGGAACTTCAGAAACGTGGACTACCACATGTGCATATGCTACTCATCTTGGATACTGATGACAAGTTACGGGAACCTGAAGAGTATGATAGAGTGGTGAAAGCAGAAATACCACAACATGAGTCTGAGCCAGAATTGTATGAAACGGTGTTAAAACACATGATCCATGGTCCATGTGGAGTATTGAATCAAAAATCTCCATGTATGAAGAATGGTCATTGTAAAAAAAGATACCCAAAAGAATTTTGTGAAGAAACGCGTCAGGGAAATGACTCATACCCGGAATACAGAAAAAGGTTTAGTGATCCCATTTTCCTAAACAGAAATAAGTCTATTGATAATAGATGGGTGGTTCCTTATAACCCATGGTTGTTGTTGAAGTATGATTGTCACATCAATGTCGAGATTTGCAGCAGTATCAAAAGCATTAAATATTTGTATAAATATGTTTACAAAGGTCCTGATCGAGTTGCAATGGAAGTTCATAGAGGTACAGGTTTGGATTTGTGCTCCAGAGGATTTGTGCAAGATGGATTTGTGCTCCAGAGGCATTGTGGAAAATATTTAATCAAGACTTTGCGCAGTTCCTTTAGCAGGTTCATTACCATCTCCAATCCTCATTAGAAACTGCGCAAAGTCATGGTCATGAATTGATCGCATGTTTTGGCGCAAATGTAGGACCTTTGTGGTGGACCATAATCGAGACCTAACAATACATGCTGAAATCATTTGTCCTCTATTTCCTTTTTCAATAACTGGTAGCACCTGATGAAAATCTCCGCCCATGATCATTATTTTTCCACCAAATGGAGCATTGTTATTGATGATGTCTTGAAGTGATCGGTCCAATACTTCTACACAATATTTATTTATCATGGGTGCTTCATCCCAAATGATTGTATTGGTTATTCTAATGAGTTTTGCAAGGTCAGAATTCTTTGCTATTTTTCAAATAGAATGGGGCTCTATATCAATGGGGATCCCAAATCGAGAGTGTGCAGTTCTACCACCAGGTAATAATGTAGCAGCTATACCAGAGGAAGCTGTTGCTAAGACAATTTCGTTATTACGCCTCAAATTTGCCATTATAGTTCGATAAAGGAAAGTTTTACCTGTCCCTCTAGGACCATCAACAAAAAAAATTTGACATTGTTTTTGGTTGATGGCGTTCATAATTATATTGTAAGCACTCATCTGGTCATTATTTAACTTCACAACAGATTGAACGTCTTCGTTTGGAATTTGGACCGATAACTCTTCTTGAATAATTGTTGGCACTCCCCCGACTTCATTTGTTTCCGTTGTCAACATTGGAAGATCGTAGTTTTTTATTAGTTTTCCATGCAGTAGCAAAAGATCCCTCAATTCCCGCAATAACATATTTTCAAAGTTATCCCCCACAACAACATTTGTCATTTGATAATCCTCCACCATGTAGGGATAAAACTCATTAAATAGGCCTCTAACATCAGTTGGTTCACAAAAAATTAATATAGTCACAAACAACCTTCGTAAAGCATATGGCATACGCATATTTGATGCTTCAAGCAAACATTCACGAATACTATTATCACTCTCTAATAACCCCCAATCCTCAGCTGATTTTTTAAATGTGAAAAAAGATGCACCATTATGTGTAAGAAGGTATTCCCAGCTTGTTGGACCTCTTAAATGAGACAACAAAACACGTAAGTAAAATTTCTCACCTTCTGAAGGGGATATTGTATAGATTCGACCAATAACTTTTCGTTTTGTTTGTCTTTGCTGCCATTTTTTGACCCCTTTTAGCCAACAATAATGCTCTGGAATCTCTCTGTACAAATAATTCCTAGCATGTGGATCCATTTGGTTTAGTGCAAAGAATTCAGTGAGCATGGTTACTGCATTTTGGTTATCATTTAGCACATCTGTGATTCTTTGATGCTTATAAAACCGCACTTGATGATGATTTGGCAAGTGGATTTGTAGTCTTTCAACAGAGGGATATAACTTGTAAAGTGTGAATTTAAATATTTTCCACAATGCCTCTGGAGCACAAATCCATCTTGCATTAACATATTGTTGAATCTCATCCAAACCTGTACCTCTATGAACTTCCATTGCAACTCGATCAGGACCTTTGTAAACATATTTATACAAATATTTAATGCTTTTGATACTGCTACAAATCTCGACATTGATGTGACAATCATACTTCAACAACAACCATGGGTTATAAGGAACCACCCATCTATTATCAATAGACTTATTTCTGTTTAGGAAAATGGGATCACTAAACCTTCTTCTGTATTCCGGGTATGAGTCATTTCCCTGACGCGTTTCTTCACAAAATTCTTTTGGGTATCTTTTTTTACAATGACCATTCTTCATACATGGAGATTTTTGATTCAATACTCCACATGGGCCATGGATCATGTGTTTTAACACCGTTTCATACAATTCTGGCTCAGACTCATGTTGTGGTATTTCTGCTTTCACCACTCTATCATACTCTTCAGGTTCCCGTAACTTGTCATCAGTATCCAAGATGAGTAGCATATGCACATGTGGTAGTCCACGTTTCTGAAATTCCGTTACATACATATAACTTCTAACTCTCCCTAAGACTCCTTTATTAATGACATCATCCTTCAACTGCTCAAATTTTGATCGAAAAATTCTTGTTAGCAAATCAGGTCGATCTTGTGGAGTTTGATGGATTCCTAATTCGGAAGTTATCTCAATCCAGGAAGGATTGCATGTCATTGTAAGGAATATATCTGGTTTACCATCATTAAGAACAATAGCCATACCATCTTGATATCTTTGTGTCATGTCTCGCTTACTTCCAATAAATGATGATGGTAATATTGTCCTTTGTCCAACATTATCTATAGAAATATATGAAAATTATAAAAAAAATGATAGTGGTAAACATAAAGTGGATGCTCTTCATGTATAAATCTAACATGTTATATTAAATACCTGCATTATTCTCCCCATCGTGCAATGCATCTTGTAACCCCTGATATACCTCAGACCGAATATTATTTTGATTTCTTCGAATCCATCTCAACCTTCCTGTTTCAATCTTTACATAATTGTCTACAACATACTGTTGTAAAAGTCGACCCGATTTTAACAATACAAATTGATCATTATGTCGAATCTACATTGAAAAAAATAATCAATCATGACCTATTTTTTTACACTTTTAGAAGTAAATTTCTTTTTAAAAAAGTTTAGCATGTACCTGAAGCACATAACTGTAGTACTCTCGGCATGTAACATTTTTTCCAACATTATTTTTTGTTTCTATGTCCCAACCGTATGTTCCGAACGGAAACAATATAGGATATTGTAAAGGATCATAATACCCAATTGTTTCTTGAACCTTTGTTAGATTTCCATCACAGCTGATGACATTTATATCTCTTCCACGTTCTATTGTATCTTCATCACCGCCACCAATAACAACTGCTGCAACTTGAGAAGCTGAAGGGAGACTATATTGTGGCTGATTTGATGGACGTTCTTTAATGAGTAACCTACATTCTTCAACATTTGGCTCTAATGCAAGCTGCCTAAACATGATGACAAACGGGTTGCATTGATGGAGTATTTTTTGCAATTTATACACTATGGCTTGGTTAAGTATTGGGTTTTCCCTCATCCTATTTTGAAGCTCATGATCAGTATCATAAATGTATAGCTGCAAGTAGCGTGGCCTTGAACCTTGATTCGGATGAAAACCTCCAATTTTGTGATAAATTGTGCCTTGAGCACGAAATGTGTAAATACCACGACCAGTTGTAACCAAACTTTCGTCGACGTGGACACCAAGTGAAGTAAACGACATTACATGGTTGTAACTTCTAATGTGCTGTCTAAAATGCCGTCCTTCAGTAGAAGTGTCTGAAAATAACTGTAACAACTCGTCAGGAGCAGACACCTGTGTAATTGTCACCTTTCCACCCTTGCAACACATGTCTTGAGATTCTTTATGAAACAATTTTGCAGTGCATCGTCTACACTCACTTGAAGGAGGCAATAGGGATTTGATTGTCATAACAGTATTTCGAAAATTTCTAGCAATGTTATGTCTTGCTTGAAAAACATACCGTGATTCTGTGTTTTATTACATTTAAAACATCCATTAAAAAAAGTATACTTATTATATACATGCTTACTAACATGAAATTTATAATTAATATTAAATAAAAAATGTCATTTAAACTTTTACGTGTGCATTTAAAAAGCGAGCACACAGGCACGCGAATGCCCATCTGGACGCTAGTATAATTTAAATAAAAGCATACAATATATATTATATATTAGAAATACATAATCGTACCTTGATCAAAAACTGACCGTGTTTCTTGAGTTTCAACCGCTGGATTCATATTTTGCGAAGGTGATTCTACAAAATAAAGTATTAACTTCAATATAGAGTTATAGTTTAAAAATAACAATAATGTATAAATCTAAATATGTATTACTATTAATGTGATTATTATTGACAAAATTATACTTACCACAATCATTGTCATCAATATTTCCTATAGATGGTCTTGCTTCGTTGTTATCAGTTTGTTCAAAAATTGGAAATGGAAAATTTTGATCTGTAAATTAGTTTTGAATTAATAGACCAGACAATCATTTTTTCATAATTAATTAATATTTTTTAAATTTAATGTGTTAAAGTATAATGTATAACAAAAGTTAAAGTTTCTAACCCGGGGATGGAATGCGATTGACATGTGCATTACTCGGTCCAGCTTCACTGTCATGTGCCATCGGAAACAATCGAGAAGCAAGATTGACATTCGTCAAGTCTTGAAATGGAATTATGGTTCTCACATTAGAAGTATTATATGTTTGAACTTGTTTCCCTTTGTCTTTATTTTGTCTGTAATTCGAACGCCTTCTAGCTAATTCTTGTTGTCTTTGCTCAACACTCATCCGTTGTCTTCTATCTCTTGCATTTTGTGCTCGTATTTCCCTTTGACGCTCTCTTAAATCTTGACTACGGATATTTTCCATTATATTACTTTATCTGTAAAATTAAATGTAATATTTAAAAAAATTATAATACAAAAATGAATGTGTCGTGTACTATAGATACGATATGTGTCGTGTACTATAATACAAAAATTAATGTGTCGTGTACTATAGATACAAAAATGTAATATTTTTTTCAACTTTTAAGTAGCTATTGAAATGATAAATTACAAAATGGTATGCAGTTACAATTTTCAAAATAGCAAGGGATAGCTTTGGAAGAAAAAAAAGGCTACACCAAAATGATGTTTTGCCTTTATATATTGTTATAAATTAATATTTTATGAAATAAATTTTGTGAAATGAATTTGTGTTTTATGACTTAATTTTGCATTAAATATATGATAAATAAATACCAATAAAATAAAATAAAAAGTAAAATAAATGTATATTTATTTATACGAAGATCTCTCTCATTTTAAAAAATAACAATAAAAAACATAAGGTTATAGAAAATTCATGGAATAAAATTCAACATTAATTATATCTAAATAATTATGTCTAATAACTGCAGAAAATTATAAAATATTTTTTTTAATTATGTCTATTATGTATAAATAATTATGTCTTATATAGTATTTTCA